TTTTACAGCATTAGTTGAGAGATTTTTTTTCCTTGAGAAAATTTGGTATGTACTGTACCTGATATGTATCCAAAATAATCGATATCGAATCGGTCATCGAATCGAATCGCAAGCTTGTGAATGAGAATCGAATCGAATCGTGAAATTTGTGTCAAAACCCAGCCCTACTGTTGACTTTCCATAGCAGTGAAATTTGTGTTGTCTAAATGAATTATAAAAGGTGCCCTCTGATGATAATTGCTATTGAATAATGTGCTAGTGCTTAAAGTTGAAAAGTTAGTCTCTATAGGCATGTTGGCAAGAGTCTAATATGTGCATGGCAATAAGTGAGAAATACTGCTTTTTGTTTTTGTTACTTACATGAGAGAGCAGTGAAGAAACAGACTTGCACAAAAATGCAGAGTGGGACATGTCCCAAATAAGCTAAGAGGAGGGGAGCTTGTTGTTATTTGAAAATGAAGAGTAGGACATGTGGTGGTTTGACTGAAAAACACGTCTGTAATTAAAATTGGTTGTACGGTTTCTTTAATCATTGGATCAGTGGCTCGCAACCAGGGAGCTGGGGACCTCAGCAAACATCCAAGCGGGATAGAGGATGACTTTAAAATATTTAAATGAATAAATTGTTATTAATATACTAAAATAATCTAACTAATCTAAAATGCTAAAAAAGCATAAATATGTTTTTACTTATGACTACTGTTTTTTTTTTTTTGTTTTTTTGAAGAAGAAGAACATGCAGTTCTTGAAACTGGAATCACAAAATGAATTGTGGCTAATGTAAAATATGAATACTTTCAGTTTCTGCAAATAAAAAAGTTAACAAGCAAGAAAACGAGCAGCTTTGTCATAATTACAGCAGAAATGCAGAAAATCTTATATGGGGCATTCGGATATTGTATTGGACAATGTAGGGCCTTCAAGTAAATAAAGGTTAAGAGCCACTGCTTTTGACCCAACTTTAAAAATTAACTTAAATGCTATGCTATTTGTTCTGCCTGTGTTTACATTAACGTAAGACTTAACCGACTGTATTAAGATCAAAACCTTCTCATTACAGACAGCTTGACTGAATTTTGAAATGTATTTGGCTGTTAATAAGTCGCATTAGTCACATCAGTTACAGATATGTTAGTTAGTTTATAGTATAATAGATGTTTGATACCAAAGTTCTGGTACAATTAAGGTTGGGTACCGTTCACATTTTGGGTACCCCCCCCCCAGAAATTCTTGTTTTAATTTTTCCGAAAATCAAATGAAGGCATTAAACATTTACTTTAAATCAAATGAAAATTAAACTCTTTTATTTTTTGGCAAACAAACTGAGGTTTACTGTTGAAATTAATACATGGAAGAAAAATTGTGTGGTGTGAATATTCCTTTAAAACATTTTTAATAGGCTAATAATTGTATTTTTTTCTACTTTTTAATAGGCTAATAATTTTATTATTTTTTTCTACAATTAAGTGATTAATCTGTTTGTAATAATTATTTTTTATCATTTAATTGTTTTATTTAAATTTGATAGAAAATGGAATAAAGATGTACTTTATACTGTACAAAAGTAATACAAGAATAATATATTTCTGTTACATGTTAAACCGTACTTTTATTTTGACAGGTTGCCATGAAGTTTCTGTGTGCATACAGTATGATGATGCTAGTTTTCTCAAATGAAACGGTAAAATTCTCGTAAAGTGACTCTCACAGTGACGAAAAGCTCTGGAGATTAAGTTTTTGTGTTCATAGTGAGACGCAGAGGCCGAAAATCACTGCGAGCGTCACGTGTGCTTCAGTATTTGTGTAGTAAACAAAACCGCGTTCCCGCCATTCATACATACAGAGGCAAGTGGAACATGCAGGACTCATATTTAAACCGTCTTTTTGCATTTTAATATTCACAGACATTGGTTCATATCGCGATTCGAATTAAGTGGCAGTGGCTACTTTTGATTTATTTGTCCAAAATTGACGAATTCCGTGGCATTCCGCGCTATAGAATAAATTTACGTTTTTATGAATGGACTAGGGCTGTGCAATTAATCGCATGCGATTGTCATGTGCATCTCGTCAGTAAAGCCGGTTCCGTGATTAGTAGTAAATCTCCAGCACGTGCTTTCAGATGGAGCAGCATTTACTACACAGAGCCATAGTTCACTGACAATTAGGCAATATTGCGTTCATTATCGCAGATTGAATCGCCTGCAATAATGACCACGATATTGCCTAATTGTCAGTGAACTATGGCTCTGTGTAGTAAATGCTGCTCCATCTGAAAGCACGTGCTGGAGATTTACTACTAATCACGGAACCGGCTTTACTGACGAGATGCGCAGGACAATGGCATTGGATTAATTGCACAGCCCTAGAATGGACTCCACGATCCCGTCCGCGTTTTCGCAGAAACCATATGGCCCTAGAAATGTAACCACACTTCAGAACATTTCGGCTTGCCCTGTGTGTTGTTTGAACGAGTTGCAGGGGTGACCTCACTTCACAGGGTCTCTCTTTCTCTCTCTGTAGCATATGCGCCCAGATGTGTTCTCAGGTACTGAAATTTGGCACCGATTGATTTAACGTGAATCGGTACTCGGTAGTACCGACGCAATTCGATCGGTACCCAACCCTAGGTACAATGAGGTAAATTTGAATTCACTTGAATATCCAAAAAAGGCTATACAGTGTGTCTATTTAGCAAAAGTATTTGTTGTGAATGCCCAGCGAACATGACTGTATTGTGGGTAGTTTTCATTTAATAATGCCCACTTTTTCTTCAGATCCTTAGGTTTAGTGTGTTAGGTTGATTACAGCGTTTTCAGATTCACACACCCAAAATAAAATCTCAATTTAAAGAGTGAAATGTGGACTTTAGCAGAGGGAATGGGCTGGTGGCCCAGTAGGCCTTAACAGGTGACCAGAAGCAGGACTTGTAGGTGTAGTGGGGGAGACAGGACCTGTGGTGGCTACAGAAGCAGAAACAGGTACAGGAGCGTGAGGAGGGGGACAAGACCTGTGGTGGAGGACGTGAGGTTCAGCAAGGTAGTCGGCAGAAGTCGTGTGCGCCCGTCTCTCCGGGTGCTTTTGTACATTCTGTGCTCGAGCGTGTGTGAGAATTTGCTCCGAGTCAGATGATGATATTTTCCCTGTCAGTGAGCTATGTGTGCGCCAGAGCTTTCTTTCTGTCTGTTTATGTGTGTGTGTTTGTGTGTGTGTGTGTGTGTGTGTGTGTGTGTGTGTAAAGACAACACAGTCAATGATATTTTCACCACCACTGAGCCGTGTGCGTGTTTATCTCCCATTCTCTGTGTATCATGTCAAACATTTACATCTCATTGAATTTCAAATATCAGCAGGAATGGTAATAGGGCATAGTAATGAGACTGGGCTCCTACTGTTATGCTAATTTAGGAAGACTCCCCTTCAGCGCCCCCCTCCCCTTCCCTCCCCTCCCCAACTTCAGAATGCTGCACTGGGCCTTTCTGGCCTCTCTCTCAGATGTGGCATTAACATTTTCATTCAGAAGTGATTTCTAATGTTTTATCTTCATCAGTGTCATTTTTGGCATTGAACAGGTTCTGGTAGTGCCGACCTACGACACGCTCCGCAGCAGGTGTTTCAGTGGATGATGTACAAGAGATCAGTTTAGCCCTGATGTTCATGTCCTGCTTCAGTTTCCATTTAATGGAGTAAATATTTGATTGCTCTTCACAGGTGGATGAATACCCGACTGAGTATAGGGAAGAGCAGACTGACCGACAGGAAGTGCCTGAGGAGGAGGAGCATAAAGAGGAAACTGAGGAGCAGGACAACTCTCAGGTCACAGAATTAGAGGAGGTAAAGATTGGCTGCTTCAGATAATGTTTGCTCCTATCTTTCATGAAGATGCTTAAAGTCACAACGTGAGTCTGAGGTTTTGTGTGTGCTCTATGCTTCAGGTGGAGAATGAAAACGATCCAGAAGCTGAGGCCGAACCGGACGCCGATGTGAAGGAGGAGTCTGATGAGGAAGAGGAAGATATTGAAGAATCTGGCCGTCTGCGATTTAAGACCGAGCGCAAAGATGACACAGTGGTCAGACTGTCTGATGCCACCAGTAAAAGGAGGAACATCCCAGACACATTAGGTTAGTCATTAACAAATGAAGCAGCTTTTTGTACTGTTATAGGTTTAAAAATGTCATATAGTTATGTTTTAAGGCACCTGACAATTATTCTGAATGCTACAGTTTTTTTTTTACAGCATTTGTGAGTAAAATTATGTAGTATTTTTGTGATTTGGCCACACCACTGTGACTGACTATCCTTAGCTTTGATTAGGCCATCATGGCCCATCCCTACACTTAACTGTCTTCTTTTCAGTCAATAAGGTAGACCTACTGGGTTACGTAGCATAAATAATTACATAACGCAAGTAATGTTCATGAGCAAAGCCTTTCTATTTTTGTACAGATTTACCAGTATCAGTGAAGGCTGTTGTTGTTTTGTGAAAGGTTAACTGAAAATATTATTTAAGCGTTATCTATTGTCCCTTTGTTTTTTTATTTTTGTTGGTTTTTTTTGTTTTTTTTTACTGTTTTTGAAGTAATTTTAAATTTGGTGGTTAATATTGTGACAGTAAAATTCCCAACTTTAAAAAAAAAATAAAATAAAAACTGTCACTGTCTACCAATGTTATGTAAGTGCATATAATAAAAAATGTTATTACATTAATATTAGTTTATTATCATTATCCTAAGCAGGGCAAAAAATGCTAAAGTGATCCTTCATAAGAACTATTAGATAAGCTGTCTTAAACAATCAACAGCTTAACAGACCAAATTAATAGAGCACAAATCGCCTACTCCAGTGGGTCCCAAACTGAGGGATCTGAACAGTCAGCAGATTATTTTGCAAAAGAAACCGCTGCAGGGTGATAAAGACTACACTGCATAATTTTCCCGCTTATCATGAGGCCACTTGCCTAAGTAAATAATTGAGCGCAAAATATTAATTTGACATTTTAATTACGTTAACATGACTCGCAGTACCCCCTTGAGCGCTCCATTATCAGTTGTAAAAGTTGTGGTTGTATCAATAACATACCACTAGATGGCGCAATTGAAGAATCAGAGTTGTATTGCAGGGAGCCATGTAGAAATATAAATGAACGATGCATGGTTCTGCTCTGAGCATGTAAGTTACAAGTTTGTGAAAGGACTTCCAGTGCCAGGTAAACGTAAAGCAGATTATGAATATACCTAAGATTCACAAATACCAAAACAACGTGTCTACAGCAGACGCGAGTGGCGCGATGTGACAAAAGCAAATAAAACCCAGTGATGTTCTCTGCTGTGGATGCGGCGCGATGCGACACGACAAATCCATGACAGATGCCCCGTTCTATTTCTGACGAACTCCAGCGCTCTGACATAAAGAACAATTTCAAATATTCATAAGAGAATCGTGAAAAAATTGTTTCCTCAAAAATATTAAGCAGCACAAATGTTTTCAACATTGATAATAATGAGATCAGCATATTAGAATGATTTCTGAAGGATCATGTGACACTGAAGACTGGAGTAATGATGCTGAAAACTCAGCTTTGATCACAGGAATACAGTAGCCTATATGTTAAAACAGGGGTCTCCAACCTTTTTTACACCACGGATCGTTTATATTTGGAAAATATTCTCACGGACCGGCTGGATGGCGACGACGGCGAACAAGAGGGAGAATGTGAGCACTGTGCTCAGGCGCTGCCGCAACTCGGTATTTACGCGCTGTCTGAAACACGTCTCTTGTGCTCGCTTTGATTGTGTCCGAGAACAGCGCGTGAGTAACGAATTGAGCTCTCTTTCGTATCTTCTTGTGGTTTAAAATTGCTTGTACGTGTAAATTGGCAAATTAATCTGCGAATCACGTGCGTGCCGAACGGTAGGGTCTCATCCGTACGTATTATGGATCATCTGCAATCCGTTTAACTCCTAATATGTGACCGATCAGAGCAATTTTTCATTTACTTATTTAACATGAAATTGTCAAATTTCTACTCCATATCAATCACATACAATGAAAATACAGAATAATTAGAACAGTCATTAACATAAATAACAGAGTGTCATATCTATACACATTTTTCCCAGAACGTTCTTGCGACCCGGTAGCAATTCTTCCACGGCCCGGTAGTGGGTCGCTACCCGGTGGTTGGGGACCTCTGTGTTAACACATTCAAATAGATCATTTAAATTGACAATATTTCACAATATTACAGAAACTATATTGCCTCGAAAATATTTTTCACTACAAAAGGGGGGCCTGGCAGAAAAAGTTTGGGAACCACTGGCCTACTCAAACACAATATTTAATTTCATTTAATTCATACAGGCCTACCTGTATGAATTAACATGTTGCAAAATATCATGATATGAATTTTAGCTCATATCGCCCACCCCTAGTATCTAATAAGTCTGTATTTTTATTTGTCTCTCCTTTCAGAGCTCTCTGATGCAGCTAAAGCAGACCTGCGTGAGTTTGAGGAGAGGGAACGTCAGAGGAAGCAGGGCCGTTTTGGAGGACGCGGGAGAGGAGCAGATGGAGGGAGGGGAGGAATGGCAGGTAGAGGTGGGGTCAGGGGAAGGGGAGGAGCAGGAGGACGAGGAGCCGGTGGAAGAGGCGATTTCCCTCTATTTGGAATGGGCGGTTTCCGTGGCGATGGAGTTGGAAGTCGAGGGAGAATAAATGAGCAAAGGCCTCCGCTGATGCAAGTGAACTTAGGAATGCAGGTAAGAGATTGACGGTCTGAAGTGACACACACAATACTAATGCTCCTACTTAACCTGTTCTAATAACACTAATAAAATTGTGTGATAAGACAGCATTAATTAAATATTAGAGATGCACCAATTATATGACCACCAGTTGTTATCAGCCAAGTTCACTGCAAAAGGTCAGCACTGTTGTAATTTTAAAATAAAACATTGCAGTCTGTAATTTAAGAAACAGTCTCCTCACAACTAAACTTTATGAAAGTATTAGCATTAGTTTCATGGTGATTACAAACATTTAAATGGGGTAAATTCAGGCCTAAAATGGTCCAGAAATAATACACAAGAGATAACAGGTAGTTAGTAGTAGTAGTGATATTTATTTCTTCAGGTAAAAGCAAATTTTATTATAATATGTTTATAATATTAGGGTGTAAACTAGAGTTCATTAAAGTTATCTTGAATTGAACGAAGACCAGGTGAACCAAATGTGTAGAACTTTGTGTTGAAACTGTTCCATGAAAATTGGACTGATTCACTTAGTTTTGACTGATTTGATAGCATTCCACTTCTAGTCACACTGTTGTTTTCTGGAACCTCGTCAGTTTGAATATCACTGAAGTATTGATTGTCAGGTTTACGCTGGTAGCTACTGTGGACTAGGCAGTGGTCAATGCTACTTCTCAAATTAAAGAACTAATAATCATTTGTCCTTCTTGCCCCTGATCCATATCTTTCCCTCATCATAATGATGTTGTGGTTAGGGAAGTCATTTAACCCTTAAAAATTTTCCTTGATAATTCAAATGCATTACTTTTTTTTTAGGGCTGCACGATAAATCGAATGCGGTATTTAAATCTCCATCACGTGCGTGCTTTTACATGGAGCAGCATTTACTACACAGAGCCGTTGTAGCGCAGCTTGTCAGTGAACAACAGCTCTGTGTAGTAAATGCTGCTTCATGTGAAAGCACGCACCTGATGGAGATTTACCGCTGATTACAGAACCGGCTTTACTAACAAGATGCGCATTAAATATCGCATGCGATTTATCGTGCAGCCCTACTTTTTTTTTTTTTTTTTTACATAAATCCTAATTCTTTATAGGTCTGGGCAGTATGACGAGATTCCATATATCATATATCATGGTTTGCTATATCATTTATATTGCAGCATGTAAATATACCCACGCAGTTCAGGACTGCTTACAGTTGCATGAATGAGAAAATCAAAATCGGGATTTGCTTGATGTTAAAAAGAATTATTAAATGCTATATAGGCCAAATAAACACATTACATAAACACAAACACAAGAGTCTGCTGAAATTAAGTTCTCTTTCACAGCTTATTACATTTAAATCAAATACAGGTCAAGGTCAAATACAGACAAAATAATAAAAAAAAAATTCCTTTGAGTATTCACATAAAACAGTGCATTATGTTTTAAGTTAATGTAAACCGTTGGGAGAAAATGGGATATGTATCATATATTGAATCTATGGCTACAATCACACTGTAAATTTTTGGGATTGACAACAGCATTTACTTACAGGTGTGAGTCTTGGAATGTCCAGTCCAGTTCACATAGCAACTTACAGTAGCGTCTCAAATACTGTCTGTATGAACGTGCAACAGGAGTCAAGCCCGTATTCCTTAACAGTAACCATAGCAACAGTGACCGAAGTAATATCAAAGATGGCGATATCCATAAAACTGAAAGTCTTTTCACTGATTTCTGACACGACAAGAGTCCAATCGAGCTGCGACTTCCATCAAATCTTCATTAACCGGCGACAGCTTTTATATTTGATTGGAGAGCGGAGCATGCAGAACACAAAAACTAATAGAAGAAAAACTGACTGGATCTAAAACTTTTAGATGACACACAGCTCATTTTATCGAAACCACACATGAAAACACGCAACACATGGTAGACACGTGTTTGCGCAGCAGAGCGGCTCTCTCTCGCACTGTATGACGTGACAGACAACTAGTTGTCCAGTCCTGTTCTGGTAACACAGCACATGTTTTCCGAGAATGCGGTTGTGAGTCCTAAAAATTTACAGGTGTGAGTTCGGTTATAGAATGTGGTTGTCACGTCCGTAAATAACCATACTGTGAACGTAACCTCAAATACAGGACTGACAACTGTATTCTGCTGCTGTGTGAACGTGGCCTATATGTATGGGTATGCTGAATCTGAAAATCCGAAATCAGAGAGAGAAAATCACTCACTGCTCTTGACTGAGTAGCTTTATTAAGAATCAGTGTACATTTAATCCTAGGGATGTAACGATTCACTCATATCACGATTTGATTCGATTCACAATTTTGATTTCACAATTTGATTTTCTCACGATTTTTTTTTTTTTTTACAAAATGAGATTGAAGACATTATACAGTAAATGAGAAGGTGTCCTTTTATTAGGCTATTGCTGCACATTTCTTAGTGAAATTGAAATATAACAAAACTAAATTGAAATTTTAAAACAAACCCCAAATCAAATAACCAAGTTGCACAAAATAATAATAATCATTATCCAAACAAAGATGCTGCATACATGCAACATGAGCAGTTTTTAATCTAAATTAGACTCTATAATTTCGAAATTTGAAGCAAAAACAGAATGGTCTGACATAAAACATGAACGAACCGGCAGACGAGCTGAATGAGACGCAAATTCACCCTCTGCCAGCAGGTGGCGCTTATGAACAGCAATGATATAGTGTTTCCTGGGTTACCTCTGTAAACAAAGCAGAGCTAGGCTTATGAACACTACTTTAATTTGCATCGTTCAGAGGTAAGATGAAAAGAAAATACCACGTAAACTTTTCTAAAGACAATCAGTTCCTCTCAGAGATACATTCATATAAACTCCTACTCGCGATTTGTTTGGCATCTCAACCGATTTGAATCGTCACATATTTGAATCGATTTTCAACCGGCTCGCAGTTAATCGTTACATCCCTATATAATTCATACAGCGAGTGCTATGCATTGTTTTATTTTTACATTTGGATATGCAAATATATTCCACAGTTATAGAGGACATGAAAATGTACCTCATTGTGGTTTGGATTTTTTTTGCCAGTCTTGGGAGGGTAGTTGTGACGTTGCTCAAGATTTGGGAAATCAAAACAGTCTACTGGGAGAGCAGTATCTGAATCGCTTGATGGTGAACTGAAGAAGATAGGAGTACTAGTTTTCAGCTATTTATATTCATATTACTTTATTATTTACAAAAAAACTAGGTAAATATATGTAAAATGCTTCCAGGAAGTCAGAAACCAGGCTCTGAACTGAAGTCAGATTATTTAAACATGCACACAAATGGCAGTTTTTTCCTCAACAATATATGGTTGTATTGTATTAATCAATTTCGATGACTATGCAAAACTGTGCTAAAGCATGTGAACTAAACACAACATGTAGTACTTAAAATTTCCCAGCATTGGCAGGCCTGCAATATTAATGTTTTAAAGCATTTTGGATCAAATAAATGCAGTCTTGGTGATCATCTTACTGACCCCAAACATTTGAAAAGTAGTGTATAAACAGTAACATTCTTTACAACAGTTAGTAGTGACTTTTCTGTTTGCAAACATGAATTTGAACTTCCCTGGTGGTCAAGCAGTTCTCTTGCGAATGGATTGTGCCTTTTGTGGCTATTAAAGATTATGCATCAGTTTTAGATGATGGTGTGTTGACTTGTGTCTTCTCTTGTCTCACCCTTGTGGAGTGGTGTCAGTTTGCTTTTGAGTAAAAGTCAATTATCACCGTTCTCACTCCCTCTTATCCATGTTGATATATGGATTATGGCAAATAACTTGGCGGGAGTCCATTGAGGAAGCATTACACCAAATTAAATTTGTACTTTGCTGAAGGATTTAGCTTCCTGCGCTTATTTTATTATTAAATATCTGTCGAGGGTGTAATCCCTTTGCGCTTGAGCTGTTCGTTTGCGCTGCACCTTTTTTTTCTCGTTTTTTAAAGCTGATTTTCTTTTATAGAGAAGGCAAGCCTTTTCAGGCTTTTGACATAACTTGTCATTCCTCGACATTGATGTGTTCTTTTACGTTATGCTTCAGACAGTAGTATATACAGATAGCAGCACTGCCATAATGATTTAATTGAATTCCCCTCCACCCCTGACTGAGTACAAGTTGTCTTCATCTGATGATGAGTTAATAAATCTAGTATATATGCTTTTCTGAAAGAGACTGCAATGTGTATTTCTGAGTTTGAGTCAATCCTTCAGTCATCATTTGAAATAGGATATTGTCCTTTAGCATAATCAGTGGGGACACAGAGGCACAATGCATGTTTTTTAAGAGGGTACTTAAACATTTTGTATTCCTCCTAAACTCCTCATTTAATTCAGATTCACTCCCAGTTACATGGCTCTTATGATTGATTACTTGATTAAAGGGGTCGTCTTGAGAGTCAAGGTCACAACACTACAAGATAATGATTTTTTTTGGGGTGAAAGAGAAAGCGCTTATGCTATTGATTGATGTTTCTCTCTCTTTCTTTTTTTAAAGCAGCAGCTCAGAATGACTCCTCCGCTTCAGCATCACCACCATCAGTCTCGTCTGCCTGGTCCGAGAGGCAGTGGAGGTCCCGGGCTATTCCCGGATCCGGGTACCCCAATTCCTCAGCAGCCGCTGCAGCTGATGATGCCTCGTCTGGCCCACCATTCCCCAGGGCCCAGAACACAACACGACACACACGTACCATGCTTGTTGAACTCGCCGCCGCGTCACTCACGCGCACATCCCAACCAACACCAGCAGCATCAACAGTATCACCCCAAGAATATTCACATCAACCCTCACTTCAGAGGACCCTCCTCCTCACCTGTGCAAGGTACGGCCCCAGAGACCACCAACCTGATTTTTATATACTTGGGTGAATGAAGGCTGTCTAAGTATATGCTCTAAGATATCTTTGCAATTGTAAAGTGCCTAGCCGCTCATGAATCAAGATTGTCTTGGTATTTGCACATAATAGTTACTCTGCAGTAAAAACATACAAGAAGTTTCAGAACACAAAAATATGAAATATTCTTTTCTAGCCTTCTTAAAAGCCCAGATTTTAAATCAACAGGATTTTTAAATGTCACTATTCTCCTCGACACACCCCTTAACGTGTCATTGTCATATCTAATCAAGGAGGTGTGCTCTAAACAACTCATATCTGTCCATCAGTTTGTCGTTAGGTGAAGGAAGGCCTTTATAAACTAACCTCGGAGAAACAAAAAAAAGTGCATTTCATGATCATCATGACCTGTGATGTGTGTAATATGCAATGTTCTTTGTCCAAAGGGTTTTACTGTTTGTTGTTAATGCATTAGTGAATCAAGCCACTAAATGATCTAATCAAGACTAAATGATCAACTTCACACTGTTCCTATTTGTAGCTTGAAAACCCAGATTATTTTATAGATTATATGCAGAAAACATTCAAAGATCATTGTTTTAAAATTGTTGCAGTCAATTCAAAATCAACCTATCAGTGATTTGATTTCTGCATTTTCTCCAAAACTCTTATGTGCAGACACATTTTACACTGCTCAGCGAGTCTCTTATTTACATAGTGTTTTCACTGCATTGGTTATGATGACAGTATTGGTGAGACAGCAGAAATCATGTTGCAATAAGGAGATCATTGCATTGTGTACTCAGTAGACATTACTTTTTTGGCTACAGTGCAGTACCTTGCAGTGCAGTACCAGTTGGAATGGGAGTAGTTCTAAATATAATGCTGTAATCAATCAACACTTTTCACGGTTATATAATCTTGTTGGTAGTTGTAGTTATAGTAAAAATGCAGTAAAAGTTTTCAAGAGAGTTTCAATTATAATGCTCATTTCATATGCAAAGATGCCAATCACAGCAGTGGGTGGTAGCATTTAAATCAGAGGGCAAAAATCTGGGTAGAAAATGACCATTTATCTCTAAATTATGATATTTTTTTGATGGAAAAAAAAAACACAAAAATATAAGATATGCTCAACTCCGGAAACCATATGAAATATTTTAAGTCTGACATATCACATGTCACCATTTCCGTGTCTAAACGCTGTATTAGGTGCCAAAACAAACGGCAAACAGGGTTAATATACACTCACAGTGTGGTGTAATATTACAACAACAAAAAAATCATGATCCTGACCTTTATCTTCATAGTGAAATCTCAGATGGCCAGACAGTGGCTCATTATTGGATTGTTAAAATATTGGTGTCTGGGATGCCGTGACCCTGGAGACTGTAGTGTACACTGTAATTTTTTTTAAAGCTTAGCTTAAATCTGACACCATGATTAAATAGTGCTCATAAACGGCTGTTGACATGGTATTCTCAACTGAAACGAGTATAGGCTTGGACCCGGAAACAGTATTCCTTACGTCACGACTTGACTTAAGCATATTCCCTGTTAATTTTTAGGCTTTGCACTTTTCATTGATGCTTACTCGCATTCTCACTCAAGTCTTTCTAAGAGTTTTTTTTTCTCCTTTGGTATGGCCTTCACTCTGTTGGCAGTCCATCAGCATTAAACCAGCTTTCTGAAATGCACACATCTGCGGAGGTGAAATTATTCACAGCGAAATTACTCCTTTTGACTGTCAGTTTATCTCGTTAGGTGGCCCAGTCTGCTTGAGAGAGAGATGCACAGTTTAATCAGCAGAACAGCCCTCTCTCTGTGACCAGCTGTGACAAACCATGGTTTAGACACGTGGCAAGAAGAGACTTCTATGGTGTCTGTGTTACGCCGCCCCACTCTCTCGTTCTGCATCCCTTTTTCTGTCTGTCTGACTCGTGCTTTTTCTATTTCCATTTAATCTCAGTTCCCTCAATGCCTCCTGTGCAGAACCAACCGAGGCCTAACATCGCTCCACAGAGACTCCCGGTAAGTAACCACACGTTGCTTAAAGTTAGAATTAAGTGATTTCACTCTGCATAAAACTGCGGTGTGTTACGGTCGAGACATCATGTTATTTCTTGGTTTGACTGGAATGTAGCCACCGAAAGCAATATTTGTCTTGCTGTGTGGATGGCATGTCTCTAGAAACCTAAAAACATCCTCATATGTTGGTTGAATTTGCAAGTTGAAATCGAAATGGAGACCGTGAAAACACAGAACAGATGTAAAAGCCCTTTACTTGCCTGTAAGGATGTAGAGGAACCATCAAGCAGCTGCCCATGCTGTGGCTAAAGTGATTACTGCCGAGGAGGAGACCTTCTCAGCAACCCCAAACTCTGTTTCTCTGTTTTTTTTGTGTAATGCTACATTTAAAGTTTTAATCTAAAACTGTTGTAAACAACATTTTTCTAATTTGTATGTAATTAAGACTGCATGGTATATTTCAGCTTTTAAAAATTATCACACCACCAAAAAAAGGACAATCAAAATGGGATCAGTGCTTAAACAGTAAATTACATGGAAAAAAACTTGATGTTGGGGAAAAAAAAACATTTATTCAATTTTGATAATCACTGGGATCAAGTCATTTACAAACAGTGTTAGATAGGAAACTCAAGACTCAGACATAAACTTTTACTATTAGGAGAGAATTTCCCAAATTGTTCATCTTGTCAGAATCCACTGTCTATTAAACATATTTTGCTGGATTGTAATACTTCTACTCCTTTGAGACACTTGTTTTATTCTATTAATACTTATGAAAAGGTTTTTAACCAAGTAAATCCAAATTCAGCACACCTCGCTTTTTCAGACAGATGAGCTTTGTAAAAATCGACATAGAGAAGAAACAATAATGTACAGTATGTGGAAAATAATGTTTTTTGAACCTTAAACCGCATAAACACATTTCATTACACCAAATACACAAAATAATGTTCTTTTTAGCAGCATCATATGACCCCTTTAAGGTTTTCAGAAAAAAATTAATCTTGAACATTTTATTTATTTTTCATTTGGAATAACTAAACCTAACTCTCACCATGAAGCTGCAATGGTGTTAACACAGCAGAACCATTTAACTGCAAAAAATGAGTCAAATCACCTAAAATATACTCTTTCTATTATGAATTTGAATCTAAATTCCTGATTGAAAAAGGAAAGTTCATGTCCATGTTATTCGTCACCTACTCGTGCACTGTGGCCCCTTGTTTGGACACATTGTGAACCCCTAAAATGATTGGTCGTTCCTAATCTTGCTGAATAGGTGTGAAGTTCCACACACACATTTATGACACACTTCCAGCTGTCTGTCTCCCATAGCCAGTCTGGTACAGACAGGACACCATTTAAAATGCCAATGGCATTTTGCAGAGAGCGGCGTTCATTAGCCCTCTGGGCACTTGATTATCATACATTAGCATATGATCACATCTCATCTTACAATAGGCTGATCCACAATTTCTCTATGAATATTTACTACAGCAGAGTTTTTTGAATATTAATCTCCATACTACATATTTATATTGTATTTTATGTTTGATACTGGTCGTAGAAAGTATCATAAAGTATCATAAAACTCTTTAGTATTAAAAAAAAAACATAGCTTTGCTTCATTTTACAAGTTAGTAGAAGTTTAAGTTAGGTTTTCGTAATAACATTTATTGCGTAATGAGGCATTAGTTGGATGGATAAATTAGTACCAATAGAAGGATATGTCATAAAGTAGTACCAGTAGAAGGATTTTTGTATATATACGTTTTTATAAAAAACACTTGTAGAAATATAGAAAGGAATATGTTTAAAAATATAAGAGAATTTTCTTATTTTATGTTTTGTGTATATCAGGGTTGGAAATGAACGGGCGTGGGGCAAAAATACTACCAAAATGGACAAAAATCTACTTTCTTTCTGTATATAATTTATTCACCGTTCAAATTTTCTTTTTATGCTGCTAAGACAACAATGTGAAATCTAGATTTTCTAATTCGTAAAAAGCATAAAACTAATTCAGAAATGGTTCTTAGTTTGTTTTGTCTGTGTTGCCAGAATGTGAAGAGCCGTTTCCCCAAATACAAACATGCTTTTTGTGTTTTATTATTCAAAATTAATAAGCAGCATTAAACAATCTGTGTAAACAAACATAAATGCCATGTCAGATGCTGATGATGCTTGATGTTGATGATTTTTTTTTTTTGGTAACCGGGGTAGTGTTCTGAATGATTGAAGTGCGTAAATTTTGGTATTTGACATAAAAGGCGACAAAGATTGATCTTTGAGAATTTGTCAGATAACTGAACAGCAGAAATGAGTAGGTTGCCAAGTGTGTTTTGAGACACATGAGGCTTGTCTCCAAAATGGCAGCAGCCCGTGTTTGGCATTTGTCTTTCCCACTCCCTCTCTATCTCCCAGGCAGATCATAACTGGTTACATATTGAACAGATCCATGGGTATTTACGAAAGATTAGCCCCCCGAAAGGACATGCTGCTTTTATCAAACGATTGCAAACTTGCAAAGGTATTGTGAATGTACTTAAGCTCCCATTGTGTTACAGGAGCTGACCTTTTGAATAGAGCAATAAAGTCCACAATAACAATGTGATTCTCTCTCGCTCCCTCCTGGCCGTTGCTTAGCTAAGCTGCCTGATTGACTTTCTGTTAAGCAACTTGGCTGGCCTTGGTGACACTCACTGGCCGACTGAAGATCAGAGCTGAAAACGTGGATTAAAAGTTTGATTGCATCTTAAGACATTTATAATGAGTAAAGAGGTGCTAAGCATCACAATTTGCTGGAGTGTGGCCCTTTTGAACGAAGGCTAATTTCTTAAGAGCGAAGGATATTTTTAAAGAATAAAGGAGAGGGGATTCGTATTCAACTGCAGGATTAGTAAGGATCGTTATCTTTCTTTCCTCTGGAAAGGTAGAGGGGGGATTTTGAGTTTTATGAGCAATGGGTTAGGTAAGGACTGAGAACGGATAAAGATTTCTGTTCAAGGGTGTATACAAATCGTTGTCTTTCTGCCTAAAAGATTCCTCAGTGGTATAAGCTGATGGTTATGATCTTAATATGAAGAGTTACATTTTAAATTAGAAGATAAGGATCACAAATAATAAGCTTTTTAGCTTTGAAAATCATGTCAACAATAATATTTTGGTGCTGGAATAGTCATAATGTTTTCTGTGGAGTCAGTGTGATTTTTGCTGTTGTCTCCTCCTCCAGGCTCCTCCTGATTTCCAGCAGCATCTCCAAGGGAATTTTGGCCCACCTCAACGGTCTCTGCCCCCCCAGGATCAATGGAGAGGACCACCACCACATCATCAGGATCCAGAGCACTTCTTCCCTGGTGGTAAGGTCAAGTTAAGGTGGTCACACTGGTTGCGTGCATAAACTATACCTGCATGGTTTTAAATATCTGTTTTGACTTTTGTTATTCCATCCAGTCATTTACCAGCAACTGAAGCAGTCAGAATTGATGCTGTAGGTATCTGGCTTCTCTTTTATTCCTTTCTTTTCTCTTTTCTAGAACCACATTTTTCAGGCCAGCACATGTTTGACCAGCCAGGCCCTGCCCCCCTCATGAATAACAGTGTTCTTCCGATATCGGGCCACGGCCCTCCATCTTTCTCCCCGCAAGGGGGGCTCGGAAGTCCTGGATTTGGTTCTCTGGGGCTCAGGCAGAACCAAGGGCCTCAGGGAGGAGGTATGTTCCAGAGAGAGCCCCCTCGGTTGGGTCTGGCCCCGCAGCATGGAGGCCCCCCTGGTCCCTGTGGCTTTGTGGGTCACAGACAGCCCTTCTCGCCCCAACAGCAGGGACCCCCCTTTAGCCCCCAGCACGTGCAATTTGGTATGCAGGTACGCCAGAGAGTAAGTCAGTTTACCAGAATCTGCATGGCCTTGCTGGCGTGTTGAACTCTGCATGTTAATTTACAGCATGGCATGGAACTAGCATGAAAAATATATTAAAAATATTGGGTTTTCAGTGTCTTTTATTTTGCATTTAATCCATTAAATGTGCATTTTCACAGTCCTGGAATTTAGTAGGAAATATGGCAGATTTAGACTCCTGTTCAAAAGCTTGAGGTTTTTTTAATGTATTTTAAAAATGTTTTTGAAAGTAGTCTTGTGCTCTCCATTTATTTAATCATACATACAGTAAAGCAGTAATATTACAAAATATTATTTCGATTTTAAAATAACTTTTGTATTTAAAAAAAAAATTAAAGACAATTTATTCCTGTGATAAAAGCCGAATCTTTAGCAGCCACTACTCCAATCTTTAGTCACATGATCATTCAGAAAACAGTGTTTCTTTTTTCAAGATTATTTTATGACTGTAAAGAAGAAAAAAAAACAGCATTTAGTTGAAATTTAAATGTTTCCTAACATTATAAATGTCATTACTGTCACTTTTTAAACATTTAATTTGTCCTTACTAAATAAAATAATTCATTTAAAAAAAAAAATCTTACTGACCCCAAACTTTGTGAACATTAGTGTATATGACAAAAAGACAAACCTAAGGTGTTTTGGCTTGGTTGGAAACCATTGTAAGCCATGTAGGTGTAGTGGTCGACTGTGCAAGGAGAAGCTGCTGTCTTCATTTTAAGCAGCAGACAAGACTGCCCTCTTGTGTTAGCACTGTTTGTCAGTTCATGGTTATTTGAGGTCACTGGGTTAGTTGTTACACATCAGAGGTCTAGCTTTCTTTCATGAAAATATTTCCTCTTGATTGTCATCAAACGCAGCTTGGTATTATTTTTTCTTAACTTGAGATATAAACTGGTTTTAGCTGTAAGTTCAGTTAATTGTGACAAATTATTTGTCTGTAAGACTACTGAAATATTATACAGGGCTGACTTCTAGAGTACTCCCATTCTCAATCACGACTGGCCTATATTTCAGTGTAAATGTCCTCATTTTGGCTGTATTCTTTGTGTTTTGTGGTATTCAGGGTCTAATGCAGCAGCCCCTGCACCATGATCTGCCACTATCCCATCAACCCTTGCACCAGCAACAGCAGCACCAGCAACACAGACAGGACTTGCCCCCCCAGGGTCTGCCTCACTCCCAGCCTCCACCCCAACACCAACAGCACCACCAACACCACCCAAGGGACCAACATCCCATGGTGCACCTCTCCCAGCCCCACTTCCGCCAGTCGATTCAAAGTGGAAACAGACAAATGCAGTCCCGACCACAAGGCAACCAGCAGCGAAACAACCATGCCAGACCCAAAATGGTTAGCCATTCAAATGTGTATTTGTTGCAGAGAGCAAGATGGCAAGAGAAACATTTCTTATAAATAAACCTATATTTCATTCATGTCAGCTCAAAAGGTTTTGCTATACTTCTATGAATGCCAACCCATTTATCTGACCACCTCCTCCTCTTCTTCAGACGTTGCCTCCTCCACTGCAGCAGATTCCTCCTCAACGCAACAGCAATCTCCGTGAGCTGCCCATTGCCACGAGCAACAATAATAACCGCCCGTCAGTGCCTAGTGGGCAAGCAAAGCCTGTTACCAGAGCAACACAGAATGTTAGGCAAGGGCAGGCTGCTCGTGCTGGACCAGCAGGAAGGGGAGGATCTGTGGCACAAGGGCTGGGAGCTGCCAAAGCACCAGAGCAGCCCAGTGTGCCTGAGATGAAGAAAGAGTGTCCAGCTGCACAGTCAAGCACCACTCCAGAGGTAATACTGCGTAGCATGTTCATGTGGGGAGGGGTTAACTTTGAGCATGTTTTCCACCCATAGACTTTTGCAGTTGCAAGAATTTAAAATGCTGGAATTGTTCTGTTTGAACTGCATTTTTCCATTGCAATAGCCTCATGGGTTAGTTTACGTGTAGCATAGTCCTTTTATTGTTGTGGCTGATTGTAGGGCTGTGCAATTAATCAAAATATGGTTTCGATTTTGATTTCGCATAATATCAATCAAACAACAAAAGACACAGACAAAATCACTTTCTGCTTTAAAGCTACAAAAGGACTTTTTGTAGCTTTAAAGGAGACATATTATGTCCCTTTTTACAATATGTAATATAAGTCTCTGGTGTCCCCTAAATGTGTCTCTGAAGTTTCAGCTCAAAATACCCCACAGATTATTTATTATATAATTGTGAAAATGCCTATTTTGAGTGGAAGCAGAAACACGCTGTTTTTTGTGCCTGTCTCTTTAAATGCAAATGAGCTGCTGCTCCCTGCCTCCTTTTCCAGCATAGAGTTGCGCCATTACAACAAGTACCTGCTAAAAAAACATCTGTTTTGGTTCTGATTATCATGTTTATCGCACTGAAATCATGCGTTTTAAACCATATGAGTTTAAACTTCTGATATACGGTTTTCTGAGTGCACACATCCGAAGCACACGGACAGAAAGCGACTGTCACAGCATGTGAGTACTAAACTAAGTTCTCATTCACACACAAGTTTATGTTAAAAACACACGAGTTACAAAAACAGTCGGTTATGTCTGTGAAGGTAATCAGCTGGGAAATAAATTGCATGTTTGTTCTAGATCTGTTTGGCAGAGCAATATACAATAAATAAATCGATAAATCCACTGCTCTGTTGTCTCCTCTGAGGCT